GCTGCCCCTCTGTTGGTCTTCCTTGGTCTCTTGTGTTCTGGGGGCCTCTGGATGTCTGGAGTTTTGATCTCCTCCATACCTGCTTCATGCCCTGGAGGACGGAGCTGTGGCCCCCCCACACCCTCTAGCAGATTATTACATGAAGGAACCTTTTTTTAAAAAAAACAAGCGTCCATGCTCACAGGTGTACACACGGGTGATCACACCCACAAACTACACCCTTTTTGGCTCCTACCTCAAAGCACACTGTGTTCTGTTGATCTTATGTGCTGCACAATAATGTTTAACATTTAGTATTTACTGTCATATTCCCATATATCATTGTGATGTTGTTTATTCTATTACTCTTGTTCTCTTCTGCTTGTTTTCTTTTTTCTTTCTCAGCAGGTGATCCAGGTGATTGATATATGCATTTTTTTTCTCTGCCCGTTCTGTTGGTTTTTGTCTTTTGCCCTTCTCCCCCGTCCCTCTTCTCAGCTGTTTCTCTTTCCCTCTTTCTTTCTCCCCTTCTTTCCCCCAGTCAAGTCTGTCCCGTATTCAGTAAGTGAAAATAAAATGAACAATAAAAGGTGAATCAAATGGACCATTACAGTAAGGCTGGGATGGTCAATTTGGTAAAGTAAATCCGTTGGGCATCTTTCTTTGCCTTTAGACAACAATTCTGATGCAAAAGAGCCAAACGGGACAGGCCAAAAAAAACAAAAAACAAACAAACAAAAAAGAGAACCTTCACAGACATTATCTGAAATATTTACTTTTTCTAAGACTTTGTGATCTTTTGAAATTGTGATGCCCAAATATTTTACCTCCTTCTTCACCTCTATATCGTACAGTAATTGTGAATTACACTCCTTTAACGCCAATAGTTCACATTTATTTAAATTTAACTTTAAGCCTGAAGCTTTTGAGAATGTAGTGATTATTTGTTTTACCAGGGGAATCTGATGTTCATTTTTTAAGAGTAGTGTCATCCGTAAGTTGACTAATTATTAAAAAATTATCCATAATCTCAATTCCGGCAACGCTGCTGTTTTTAATTAGAATTGCGAACATCTCCACAACCATTATGAACAACAACGGAGAGCTTCCACACCCTTGCCTGATTCCTCTTTTGACGCTAAATCTTTTACCAGTGCCATAGCCTAACGACACAGAGCTGTTTATATCATTATATATTAAAAACCCACTTATTCAATCTTCCCTTTCTCTCTAGTTAATATTTCTTTTATGATTTCATATTATGCACTTTTATACTCATTTAAATTCTTGTTTGCTCTGTACCTGTTGCTTTCCTATGTATCAGTGACAGTTATCTGCTTGCATACTTAGTACTTGCTTTGGTCCTATTTCTATTATCCTCCTCCTATTCTCTATCTTACTTGTTATTATTATTATTATTATTATTATTATTATACAGTATATCTATTATCTTCCTAAATTTATCCCCAAATCCAAATAGAGTTAGTGTTTCTAAAATAAAAGGATGTTCTACTGAATCGAAAGCTTTATAAAAGTCCAAGAAAAGAATAAAACTGTCATCACTAATCAGATCATTGTAGTCCAGTAAGTCTAAAACCAATATGATATTATTATGAATGTTCCTGTCTTTCAGAAACCCTGATTGTGTCTCACTAATTAAACTTGAAACCCCTTGCTTAAGCCTTGTTGCAACTGAGCTAGAGAAAATTTTGTAATCTGTATTTAATAAAGTTATGGGCCTTAAGTTATCCAATTGTCGTTTATCTTTGTTTGGTTTGGTAATTAATGTAATTAATCCTTGTTTCATGCTAGACATCAATTCTCCCTTTTCAATACTGGCCAGTACAGCTTTGAATAAAATTTCTCTTAAGTCTTCCCCAAAAAATTGGAAGAAATTAACTGTAAGCCCATCTGGACCAGGGGATTTATTAAGTGCCATTTTCTTAACAGATGCATCTAACTCTTCAATTCTGAAGTCAGATTCACAAAATTCCTGAAACGATTCATCAATTTTAGGGATCAAATTATCTATTTGATCAAAAAAGACATCACAATCTGTATAAATTGGAACAGAATGTATAAATTTCATTCTCCAAAATTTTAGGGTCGTCACATTCAATGCCATCAATTAACAGAGAAGATATAAAATTTCTTTTCTGTCTGCTCTTTTCTAAATTAAAAAAATATGAAGAATTTCTTTCCCCCTCCTCAATCCACTTGGCCCGTGAACGCACAAAAGCTCCTTCTGCTTTATTTAGGTAGAGCTGATCTAATTTAGTCTGCAACTCCATAAGTTTACTCCTTTCTTGGATATTTAGATCATCTTTACTACAGCAATAAGTAATTTCTTGGAATAATTTACATTTATATTCTCTTTGCTTTTGACTTGTGTTTTTACTGAATTGAATACTAAATTCTCTAATTTTGAATTTAATGAATTCCCATTTATTGATATATCCTACAATTAGATGATCAGCCATAATATCTTTTATAATTTTTTTGACTATGTTGCAGTAGTCTTCATTTTGTAAAAGTTTGGCATTGAACTTCCAATAACTTCTTTTATTTGATTGTCTAATTTCCGATTCTAAGCACAGTTCAATAAAGCAATGATCTGAAAGAGGTGCATTTGACATCAACAGTGTGGTTAAGAATGATGTCACTTCCTAGCCAATAGTCTATTCTAGACTTACAAGCTCCATTTGGTTTAAACCAGGAAAAGCTCTTAATTCCTGGATTTCTTACTCTCCAAATATCTGTCAAATTGTTGTTTATCAAAAAATCTATAATTAGGTTATTTTTTGTGGTCTACCTGTCCTTGGGGGCCATCTATCAGTCCATTCATCAGGAGTCATATTCCAATCACCACCCATTAAAATGTATTCTGTAGGGTATCGATCTTTAAGTTCAAAAATATTTGAAGTTATATCTTCTAACATAATTTTATTCTGACTTTCATTATTATATCCATAAACATTGACTAAAATGAAAAACAAACTTTCAACTCTCATTGCAGCAATCAACCAATGACCATTCAAGTCAGTTCGTTGTATTACAAGATCCCCAGGAAAGTTATTGAATAAAATCGCTACACCCCCCGACCTCGTTGAGCCATGGCTGAACAGGATTTTGCTACCCCATTGGTTTGACCAAAAAGATACATCACTATCAGATGAATGAGTCTGTTGTAGAAAAATACAGTTTGATTTTTTACCTCTGCAGTACAAAAATAAGGCTTTTCTTTTAACAGATTCTCTTAAACCCCTAACATTTAAAGAACCAAAACAAATGTTAACATTCAACATGAACTATAGACAGAATATCACTCACCACGTGAAAAGAACGAAAAAGAGAAAAGTACTAAATGCTGAGCTCCTCAGACCGCAAACAAGTTTCCACTATTTCAGTTTTTGTCATTTTTAGTTCTCCTGTCTTTCCTCAACTTTGCGTCCATCAATGAAGGCATGTGGACCACGACAGTAGGCTCGTTTACCCGCACGTCTTGCTTCCTCCACCAGAGGCCATAGGCGCTGTCGATCTTGTATGTCCTCCTGCGGCAACATCTCTGCGAAGCTGATGCCTTCTTGCTTGCAGGTTGAAGAGTCTTTGGTGCGCCTCCACAATTCTTCTTTAATTCGCCTCTGTGTGAATAGAATAATGATGTTTCTGTTTCTGCCATCAACTCGTTTCCCTAAGCGGTGGACAATATCAACGGCCTCTTCTAAGTCCGAGTCAGGGGCAATCTTCTGAAGCGTTTGCAGAACCTTCACTCTAATGTTTTCATCTTTGTCTTCCTTCACCCCTTTCAGCTTTAAGCACCACCTCATTCAGTAGCGCTCTTGTTCTCTCACTCTTCTTTTCAAGTCTTCATTTTCTTTAAGCAGCTGTTCATTCGCATTTGCCAGTTTAACAACTTTCAGTTTGCAATCGACTATCTCTGCAGCATTAAACTCTACAGCCTTAATCAAGCTGGCAACCATAGCTGCACTTTGTCTGTTTTGTTCCTTGATATCTTCCAGTTGTACTTCAAATTTCTTCTTCCCAGAATGGCTTCAAAAATAGTTTTATTGGAGATATCATCTTCCTTCTCTGAAGATTTTGTTCTCTTCTCCTCTGGCGGTTGTTTTGATGGAGTTGGCGGCGCCGAGTCTGCTCCCCGTTCTCGCTTGTTTAGGCCCACGTTGGCAGCTTCAGTGCTAGCATAGCCATGGTCACTGACTTTAGCATGCGAAGACGTCTTAGCATTGGGGTTTGACGACACAAATTGCAGCTTTGCATTCTTAATAACCTTTTGGGCATCCATAGTTATAGTTCGAGTGGAAGGAGAATAAAGTTACTTAGCAAATTTTGCGGTCTTTCGGAGCTCCTGAAAAAACACAACTGTTCAAGCTGCCATCTAGATGGCACTGTCCTCTACAGGCATCTGGATAATTTAGTCACAACACTGGAGGGTAAAATAAATACTACATAAGAGGCCATGTTAGTGAAAGCTGGGAAAGAAGACTGTAGTAAAAGTGATGATGGTTTTCTTTCACCTTGGTGCACCTAAGGCATGATTCAACCTGTTCAGTCATTCCAGTATGCAGGGATCATTTAGATGTTAGTACACTGTGACTGCATGAAATCCCTTTTTCTAATAACCAAATTCTATCCCTCCTTTATCAAACATACATTTCAGCTCTTACACAGAATAACAGGGCTGCTTCTGCGCCACACAACCACTGAGTGACGTCTGTCCTTCAGATGCCCTGTTAGCTGCTGCTTTTTACATGGATGTTACTGGCAGCAGGTCTGTAGTTTTCTAAATCAGAACGATGTTCAATGCTCCTCTGATTCTCCTGTCTTTAAAAACTCCCTCATCTGAACACAGAGCACTGAAGCGCTTTCTGAGAATCTGGTACCTGCAGAGGAGGTGTGACCACAATCAAGATCCACCCCCCAAAATCCTTCAGCAGCTTTGATCAAGAGGCTGAAATCAGACGTGTAGAAGATTTTGTACAATATAAAACAAAATGTCTTACCATTTCATAGTTGTGAGTGAATGACCAGTCGGGGGTACTGGTGTTCAAGTAAGAGCTACCATAATAATGATAAGCATAATGTGGCCAAAAGGCTTCCAGGATGTAGATGATGATGGCAGCAGCTGAAGTAACTGCAGCAATAATATTGGCTCCCAGAGCGCCTCTCACCTGCAGAGCACAAAACGGGTCAGCACACCTGGAAAACCTGGCAGCACCTGAAAGGCAGATTAAACCTGTAGAAACTGCAGCTCACCAGAGTCACGGGACAGTGTGGAGACTAGTTTTAGAACAGATGTTAGAGAATATTTAATCCTGAAAAAAGTACATTTAACCACTTTATTTAACATTGATTATAGACCTGTGTCCTAATGATGGGACAGCTTTCCTTTCTGCTTCACATTAACTTTATAAATACAGAAATGGGGCTCTTTTCCAACCTGACTAAACAGAACTTTTAATCGTTTTCCTCTCAGTCACACTTTGATGCTGTCAGTCTGCTAATATTGTACTTTCATCTGACTGGTGACCTGCCCGTGGTATACTCCATCTCTCACCCTATGAGAGCTGGCAAGGGCACAGCCTTGACTCTGAATTAGAGAAACGAGTTTGAAGCCTAATCTTAAATTAGAGATAGTGTCTGTCTCCTGAATCCAAACTGGAAGCTGGTTCCACAGAAGAGGGGCCTGAAAACTGAAGGCTCTGCCTCCCATTCTACTTTTAAATACTCTAGGAACAACAAGTAGGCCTGCAGAGCGAGAGCGAAGTGCTCTAATAGGGTGATATGGTACTACAAGGTCATTAAGATAAGATGGGGCCTGATTATTTAAGACCTTGTATGTGAGGAGCAGGATTTTGAATTCTGGATTTAACAGGAAGCCAATGAAGGGAAGCCAAAACAGGAGAAATCTGCTCTCTCTTTCTAGTCCCTGTCAGGACTCTTGCTGCAGCATTTTGGATCAGCTGAAGGCTTTTAATGAGTTCTTTCCACACAAAGAGCAGGTCATAGTTTGGTTTCCCATCACTGTACCATCAAAGACCAGAGGTTTATCCACAATGCTCATATGAAAAAAGAAAAAAAAGGTGCTTGCCAACTGTAGCTACAAGATGAAAGTAATGTAAAGGAAGGATCCACATATTAATGGATATTAATTGACAGATGAAGTGCTGTATGACAGCACTGTGTGAGATGAAAAGAGAGAGATCACTTTACTTTGGTAAAGGTACTGTGCTGTCAGTAGATCTATTCATGTTTCTGTATCTTTCATGTGAATATACTTATAGCTGGACTTTATAACCTGGATTTATTTGTCCAGTTAATAACATGAGCTAGATAACAGAAAGCTATGCTGCTATGTTGGATATTTTTAGACTCACCAGACAACAATTAAGGGATTTCCCAGCCGATACAGTCACAGATCCAGCTAAGACAAACTGCAAGAGACCACAAACAGGGTGCCATGTTAGCACAGATAGGTGGTGCCTAACGCTACCTTACATGTCCCAGTTTAACTAATTGGTGTGTGTTATCTGGCTTCATGGACAGATAGAGCTGGGTGTCATTTGCATAGCAGTGTAAATGTATGCTATGTCTTCTAATGATGCTGCCTAAGGGAAGCATGTATAATGTAAACAGAATTGGTCCTAGCACTGAACCCTGTGGAACTCCATAATTTATATATATAATTACTTTCAGAAAGACATCTACTGTGATAAAGTCTACTCTCCACTGCTGTGTAATCAATTATTGTAAATGTAAATGTTATCAGGAAATGATCAGACAGGAGAGGGTTTTCAGGAAACACTGTTAAATGTTCAGTTTCTATGCCATATGTTAAAACAAGATCTAGAGTGTGATTAAAGTGGTGGGTGGGTTCTTTAACATTTTGAGAGAAGCCAATTGATTCTAATAACAGATTAAATGCCATGTTGAGGCTGTCATTTTTAACATCTACATGGATGTTAAAATCACCCACAATAATTATTTTATCTGAGCTGAGAACTAAATTAGATAAAAAGTCTGAGAAATCAGACAGAAACTCTGTGTAAGGCCCAGGTGGACGATAGATGATAACAAGTAAGACTGGTTTCTGAGTTTCACAGCTGGGGTGGACGAGGCGAAGCATCAGGCTTTCAAATGAATTAAAAGTCTGTCTGGGTCTTTGGTTGATTAATAGGCTGGTGTGAAAAATTGCTGCCACACCGCCCCCTCGGCCTGTGCTTCGAGGTTTCTGGTAGTTAGAATGACTCGGGGGTGTTGATTCATTTAAACTAACATAATCATCCTGCTGCAACCAGGTTTCTGTAAGGCAGAGTAAATCGATTTGTTGATCAATTATTAAGTCATGTACTAACAGAGACTTGGAGGAGAGAGACCTAATATTTAATCATCCACATTTCACTGTTTTACTCTTTGGTTCAGATGTGGATACTTTATTGTTCTTTCTTTGTGATTTTTTTATGTTTAAGTTGTTTGTTGCTGGTTTTTAGTTTGTTTTTTTGTCTGTTTGGGAGCTGACACAGTCTCTATGGAGATGGGTTTTTGGGGGGGTAGCAGGAGGAGAGAAGCTGCAAAGAGGCGTGTAAAACTGCAACTCTGCTTCCTGGTCCCAACTCTGGATAGTCATATTTAAAGTAAATCTCACTGCAATGAATGAGCTTTAATGGTGATACTCGGGAATTGAATAATACAAAATACAAAAACTCAAGCAAGGAAGGAACTAGGAAACTCAGAAACTACAGGGGAAACATGGACAACAGGGGGGGGGAGTGCATGCAGGATGAGGGAACACATGATAAAGAAGAGAGGGAGACTAAGCATTATACATGGACAGCTACAGAGGGAGAGGAAACAGGTGGGAGCACAGCTGACACTGATCATAGTGAAGGAGACAAGGGCTGTGTCCCAATTCAGCGACCATACAGTAGTCTGCGAAGTGTGGGTACTACGAACTGCGAGAAGTGCCGAAGTGAGAGGCTTGTGAAATGGGACGGTCTGGCCTTTGTCGCGCTGCTCAGGTTGCCTAGCAACCATGATACTAACCGCGAGAAACGTTTCATACAGCCTTGTGTGACAGAAATGAAGGAGAAAAATGTCTTTTGTTCTTTCATTTTTTTATGAGATCATTTTGATTAGCTGAGTATCTGAGGCTGAGACCACGGGACTGTAAAAATGATTGTTGGGCTTCATTTCTGTGCTGAACAGTCATTTAAGATTAGCTAGTAAATAACAATTAGCTGATGTTGTTCATGAGACTAAAGTCATCTCACTTTGGTAATGTAAATATAATATGGCCAGTATTATATTTAGTATTAGATTATTATGATATAGTACAGCAGTGAGCTTCAGTAAAGGTTTCTGAATATTAAACTTGTTTCTGGCTTTCATAGTTTGGGAGAAGTTGTGGAGGAAGTATTTTTGCATTTGGCACCTTGCACCGGGCGCTTGGGAATCCACTGCTGTGTATGTCACCTTTGCTCTTGTAAAAAAATTCATTGCTTAATGAACATGGGATGAGGGAGAACACAGAAAACGAACGATGAGACTGAGAGAAGATGAGACAGAGGGAGAAAAACTAGACACAAAAACACAGAGGGACAGAAGGTTACCAAAATATAACAGGAAAACTCAAGCACTGAGACAGGGAGTTAAAGATGCAAAGATCAAAGTGGTAAATCATGAGGACGACTGCACATGGAAGACGGAGTAGGAAGAGAATGCTCCAGAGAGCTAACCAACCATTTCCAAAAACCAAAACAATCATGAATTAACAGGGTACCAGTACCATGACAGATTAGGGGTTGCCTGATTGTGGCGGGGGGTTGTCTTGGATATTATAAGGTGTTTACCTCACAGTATAAAGCAGCTTGAAGCAAATTAACACACATGCTGGAGTAATTTTTGAAGTTTGCTCAGAGGTAACAACAGAAGCGCTGGACTATTTGTCTGACCTTTAGCAGCTTTATTCACCCTTCAGGGCCCTTCAATCAAGTGATCATTTGCTTACCTTACACACGTCTAGAATGGTTCATAGAGGGGATCAGGCATTTGTGGTGTGGCGCCGAAAATGTGGAATGATCTACCTCTCCACATTAGAAAAGCAACTGTCACTCTTTTTAAATCCCATCTTATGACATATTTTTTCTCTTTGGCTTTCTATACTGCATGAGAGTTACCATTTTTTTATTCGAATGTTCTTACCTGTTTGATGATGTTAATGTCATTGTTTAATTATTCTGTTGTACAGCACTTTGGTGAACTCTGTGTTGTTTTAAATGCGCTTTATAAATAAATGAAATGAAATCTGTTTGTTCATGCAAAATCACTGAAATTAGTTCAGAAATTTCAACAGGAGGGAAGAAGTCCTGTTTAGCCGATTTCCCACGATGTTGTTTAGTATCCGTTCTTAAAGGTGATGCATTTTCTGTGTTTGGTAGTGAGTTTGGTCATAAAACCTCAGAATTGTAAAGTGACAGCAGAGAAAAGACCAACAGAGTCTCAGCACACTTACAGACAGAGATCCCCACAAGAAGACACCGCTATAAATCTCCAAATCAGAGTGTGGAAGCACGATGATCCCAAACAGGAGGAGCAGCAGGCCAACCATGATCTGCACCGTCTGTGGGTACAACCGTACGCACCACACAGATGCTTTACTGCAAACACTGTGTACTATTACTGTGATTCTGAGCAGTTACAGAGTCTCACCCCCAGGGCCTCCGGTCGTCCTTGGCTGAACTTGGTCTTCTGTGGAGTGTTTTGTGGCTCAGTAGCGGGGATCACGTGGGTGACCACGAAGACGCTGCCCACCGTCCCTGCTGCAGATGTAGATGCTGACATGTTTGAGCTGAAGTGATAGAAGCTGCTGTGGGCTGCTGCTTTGTATTTGAGCTCACAGCTAATGATTAAATCCGAACTGCTTCCTGCTTCCTCCTCAATTCCCCTTCACGAAAACACAGCATGTGTTTTCATGAGAAGGAGGAAATTTAGCCCTGAAAAATTAAGCTGACTTTGACCTTCATGCTTCAGCTCCCTGCAAAAATTCATCTTCCTCTTTTTGGTCTGGCTGCTGTTAAACTTTTCTAGTTAATGACTTATAGCCCTCCTGCTGTGAGCACCATAATGGATGAACCATGAGATCTTGTATTTATCCACAAAGCACATATAGACCAGATGGGCCAGTTCCTTTTCAGACTCTTCTTAGATCCTCAGAGTCAGCCTTCTTTGGTACCTGTAACATGTAACATCTCTCAGTATGTGGATCTGTTTTCTTTGTTAGAATCGGTCAGACCATTGCTGATCAAACTGAACATGCCAGACTTTGCTAAGAAAGTCTCCAAAACCAGATCAGCCAGACAAGCCAACAATGATGGAAACTTGTTAAAATGATCCATGATAGAAGAAAGGTAAATAGAAATAGGACCAAAGCAAGTACTAGGTATGCAAGCAGATCACTGTCACTGAGGCATAGGAGAAGCAGCAGATACACAGACAGACTTAAAATAAGCATAAAAGTACATAATGTAGAATCACAAGTGAAATGTTAACTAGAAGGAAAGGCAAGATTGAATAAGCGGGTCTTTAGTCGTGATTTAAACAGTGTAATAAGGTCAGAGGCGCGGATAGCGAGAGCGAGGTTATTCCACAGTACCGGGGCAGCCAGAGCAAACGCACCGTCACCCCGAGACTTCAGCCGAGATCTAGGTTGCGTCATAAATCAGATCAAATCAAATCACTTTTATTGTCACATCACATGTGCAGGTACACTGGTACAGTAAATGCGAGTGAAATTCTTGAGTGCAAGCTTCACAAGCAACAGAGGTGTCTAAAAATAAAATAACATGATGAGATGATGATGAGATGAGATAGCCTTTATTTGTCATTTGCAGGTCTTTTGCCCACAACCGAGATGACAGACCTTGCCGACCGTACATACAATACACAAACATCACATTGGGGAGACAGGTCAGGCCAGGTAGCGAGGAAAAAAACATCGAAATGTGTAACACAGAAGGATAATACAGGAATGCACAGATATCAACACACCACAGCACAATAAACACAGACAGCAACATGGGAAAGAGTTCCAGTGTGTACATCTGATCTGGGACCGCTGCAATCTTTCGACTGCGCCTCCAGCTGACCCGATGTCCACGTTGGAGGTGGCGTTGGATCCGGGGTAGGGAGGGTGATGCGTCAGTGAGTGCTTATCAGTATCAGTATATGTATGTGTGTGCGTGTCCATAGTTCAGCTGAGACAGTGTCCTTCGCCCTGCCAGGCTAAGTAAACAGTCTTCCAGCCAACTCAGGTGGCCTTGCATGGGATGGGAAGGAACAGACTCAACACAGTCGTCATCAGGGAGTTGTTGTTCTGCTCCAGCCTTGAGCCCGCAGCTGGCGCTGTAGGGGTAGCTGGATTATGATGGTGATTTTTCTTTTGCAACACCTCATGAGAATTTCAAGCTGTTCTTTAACACTCCGACACTGGTCTCTCAATCTCCCGTTGGAGAACCGCGGGCTTCCCCATTATGGTATCAAACTTGCATTCTGTGGTCTTGTCATTCTTTTGCTCAGAGAGCCGATTCTGAGAACTCACGACTGCAGTGAGCTGTTCCACGATGTAATCCAACTTTCGCTCAAAGGTGTTATTCTGAGCAGGCCTCTCCTTGATGTAACCCAATATACGCTCGGAGGTGTTATTCTGAGTATTCACGGCAGCCGTAAGCGTCTCCAAGGTCTTAACCGTGCTGCTCTCAATGAGCCCGTTCTGAGAAGTCGCGCCTCGTCCCATCATTTCAATCCCAGCAGGCAGCCTTGGGGGGGTTTGAACAGCCAGTTCCGCTCTCTTAATTCTCCGATAAGCCAGGGCCAAGCCAGCTCCGATCAGCAAGAACCCTGTTATCATGGTTCCGAATAGATAGATATCTTCAGCGTCCTCGATCGACAGTCCCGCCAGGCACACGACCCTCCATTTCTGCCACCCGTCCATCGTGTATCCGGCAGGGAAAGTCCCTCCAGGGGACTCGGGCTCTTCCAAGCCCAGACTTCTCGTTGAGAAAAGGGTGTCAATAGCATTCAGAGACCAGTTGATCAAATCCATAATTCTCTTTAGGTTTTAGAAACAGACTGTGAGAGAGTGTTCCAGGGAAAGTAATACAAAAAACACGAGACTAGAGAAGGACATAGAGCTAAGCAGGGAACAAGCAAGCAAAATATAAGATGGGTAAATCTGAGAGTTATATGAATAAATATATGTACAATATAAGAGTGTGTGCGCATTACTGAATGTGTATACTAAATATATATATGTACGTGTGTGTGTGTGTATACATATATACATATGTATATATACATATGTAAGCGGTGCTGTTGCCGTACCAGGTGGTGATGCATCCAGTGAGGATGCTCTCAATGGCACAGTGATAGAAGGTCCTGAGGATGCGGGGGCTCATGCCGAATCTTTTCAGTCTCCTGAGAAAGAAGAGGCGCTGCTGCGCCTTCTTCACTGTTTTGTTTGTGTGTACTGACCACGTAAGATCCTCAGCCAGATGTACACCAAGGAACCGGAAGCTGCTCACTCTCTCCACAGCAGCGCCGTTGATGGTGATGGGGGTGTGTACTTCTCTGCACCTCCGGAAGTCCACTATCAACTCCTTTGTCTTTGTGACATTGAGGGTGAGATGGTTGTCTTGACACCAGTGGGTCACAAGTATTTGAGTAGCAGATCTAAGTGTTCTAGCAGGAATATGTGGTCTGAGAAGTTCACTAAGATAACTCGGCGCTAATTTATTAATATTTTTGAATGTAAGCAGCAATATTTTAAATTGAATACGGGACTTGCTATGCTATCCAGCAATACACCCAAGTTACTGTCATAGTCACAGGAAGAGCTAGCAAAGGGACCCAAAGCAGCATGAAGTTGGACATGAGGGATATTACTGTCGAACACCACGATCTCAGTCTTCTTAATGTTTAAAACAAGGGACTTACTCAGGAACCATTCTTTGACCTCACACTGCATTCTTGAAAGTAGTGCAGAGACACAGCAAGGTCATCAGTAAATTCAAAATAGATCTGTATGTCATCGGCGTAACAGGAAAAGGTGATATTGTATTTTTCAAAGATTGCGCCTAGAGGGATCAAATACAATGAAAAAGAATAGGGCCTAAAACTGATCCGTGAGGCACACCGCAAAAGGCCGGTGCAGAGGAAGAGGAGAAGGTGCCTAAGTTAACCGAAAAAGACCTGTCAGCGAGGTATGATTTAAACCAGTCAAGGGCAGTGCCTCTAATATCCTCAGTGAGACAAGTCTTAATAATAAGATGCTATGGTCCACCATATCAAAAGCCGAAGAGAGGTCCAATAAAACTAGGACCATAGAGCGTCCAGTATCAGTAATACATGCATATACAAAAAAAACGATGTCTAACGAAGATCTCAAGAGGACCTCAAAGGCTGACTTAATAAAATTATTCAGAGCTTTTACTTCACTCAAAGCTTCCTCTTGTTTTTCAGGAAACCTCTAATCAAGTACGTCCCCACACAGAGCTCTGAGAACATCTGTAGTTCATTGTTTCTGCAGAGTAGAGACACAAAAAGGAAGAAGCTCCTGAGCTCTAAAAGGGCTTTTTGGTAAACTGAAGGAATTCCTTGGTGACCTGGTGTACAACTGTAACCGCATATGGTAAATGGACTAGTTCTTATATAGCGCTTTTCCACTCTTCTGAGCACTCAAAGCGCTTTACACAACTTGTGCATTCACCCATTCGCACAAGCACAACTGACATTCACACACATTCATACTCCGATGAATGCATCGGAGAGCAATTTCGGGTTAGTATCTTGCCCAAGGATATTTGGCATGCAGACTAGGGGAAGCCGGGAATCGAACCACCAACCTTCCGATCAGTAGATGACCTGCTCTACCACCTGAGCTACAGCCACCCACCATATCAGCAACTCTCCTCCCTGATGACCTCTGACCTGAAATGTGCTCCATAAATCAGAGTTTAAATATTTGCTTATATGTAGGAGGAAATACTAGCTGCTGTTTCTGCTCCACAGTTAATCCTTTTAAATATGCACAGTGAGTTAAAGCTGGCTCTATATTCAGGTCAGCAGCCACGCATGCTGGTCACATAGTTTCATAAGAGGAAGCATCGAATCTAAATTATTTTTAACAGTTGAGCAGCTTCGTGGAAATTCAGTGATGTCAAGTCCAAACATGTTTGTGCAGTCAGATGTTTTTCTAGAATATTAAAGACTTCACACAAACTTTGTGTTATTGTAAAAATGAAAACAAACCACTCACTTCATCGCTTTTATTTCAGTCCAAGGTTGGTTTCAACACTTGAAAACATAGAGAAAAGCTACTCTGTGATGACTGAATGACCTGATTTACCCATTTATGTATTTACAACAAGTAAAAGTCCCTGGATGCTTCCTAAAGTACTTAAATAAACCTCAAAGGCAAAACAATACAAAGATTCAGTCATGTGACAAAATGATGAATTCCTGTTGAGTAGCGTTTCAGCGCTACACATCACAAATACTTGGAAACGAGTCAAAAGTTTCCTCATACACCCAAAGTGTCAAACATAAAAGTACTCCTTATGTAGCAGAGTCCTTTTTCAGAGTTAGCAACAGTCTTTGGCATTGTGACCAAGGTCATCTTCATTCCTTAACCACAGAAACATACATGAGTGATTTTCATATTTATATTACAGCAAACAGTACTCATACAAAGGTCTGTTATGCTGTTGATTATTTGGTTACAGGTTTTTCTTGTGAGCGGTCTTCCAGCTGGTGCTGTTTAAAACGGTACTTTAACACTTACCTTTCGGATACGGTTGTCTTACCCGTGTTTCCGCTCGATGACGTGCCAGCCAAAAGCATCTCGAGTGCCTTTTAAAGGTTCCTGTGGGTGAAGAGGGCATTGAATAGTTATATTTATATTTATTGTAGATTGTAGACAGTAGGCCATATTTTATT